ATTTTGAATGGAGAGCATGTTTTAGTCCCTCGAGGATGATGTGGCCTTATGTCTCACTTGTCATGTTTTTATTATTATTATTAGTCCCTTGGGTTCCTAGTGGAACATAGGGCTTCAGTAGCACGCCTCCAGTGACCTCTGTTCTCTGAGATCTTTTGAACCTGGTTCCACGACAGCCCAGAAGCTCTCATTTCCTCCTCGCACGACCTCCTCCATGTCACCCTCGGACGTCCAACTCGTCGCTTCCCATGGGGATTCCACTCGAGGGCCTGACGCGTGATGTCCTCAGTCGGCCTTCTCAGTGTATGCCCAATCCATCTCCACTTCTTCCTGCATATTTGTTGCGTGATAGGTTCTTGGTTGGTTCGTTCCCAGAGTTCCTTGTTGCTTATTTTTTCTGGCCATCTGATCTTCAGCAGCGAGCGTAAGCAGTTGTTGATGAATGTCTGTAGTTTATTGGAAATGCCTTTCGTGACGCGCCAAGTCTCTGAGCCATACAAGAGCACTGACTTGACGTTGGTGTTGAAAATCCGTATCTTGTTCCGCATGCTGAGTGCAGAAGATCTCCACACTGGTTTCAGGCTAATGAATGCCTGTCTTGCTTTTCCGATTCTGACTTTGACGTCCTCGTCCGTCCCGCCTGTAGTTGAAACAGTGCTTCCTAGATAAGTGAAGGAGGTTACTTCCTTCAAGTTTCTACCGTTGACGGTGATTGGAGTTTGTTGTTGTTGTTGATGGTGGTGGTGCGGTATCTTCATCACTTCTGTCTTCTCTATATTCACCTGAAGTCCCGTCTTAGCTGCCTCCTCTGTCAACTTGTTAGTTTTTGCCTGCAGATCTTCAAGTTTATGTGACATTAGGCATAAGTCATCGGCGAAATCCAAGTCTTCTAGGTTCTTTTCCGTCGTCCAGTGTATCCCCCTCTTCTCGCTGCCTACTGTTTGCTGCATGATCCAGTCCACCACAATTAGGAATATCATGGGGGATAGTAGGCAACCTTGTTTCACTCCTGTCTTCACTTCAAAGGCATCACTGAGCTTCCCATTGTGGATTACTTGGCATGTGGCATCTTCATATAGTTGTTGAATGAGGCGGATAAAGGTTTGCGGTACTCCGTAGTATTGAAGCAGTTTCCAAATTACTTCTCGGTCGACGCTGTCAAAGGCCTTCTCAAAGTCGATGAAGTTGAGGTATAGAGCTGATTGCCATTCTACGCTCTGTTCTATGATGATACGAAGCGTTGCAATTTGGTCAGCACATGATTTGTACTTCCTGAAGCCTGCCTGTTCCGGTCGCAGTTTTGAATCCAGTGCGTCTTTAAGCCTCTCCAGGATGATGCGGCTTAATATTTTACTTGGGGTGGACAGGAGAGTGATTCCGCGCCAGTTCTTGCAAGCACTGAGGTCTCCCTTCTTCGGCAGTTTGACAAGGTAACCCTTCTTCCAATCGTCAGGTACCTTCTCTTCCCTCCACACCTTCTGCAATAGTGGTGTGAGCATGTCCGCTGTTGTCTCTGCATCTGTTCTCAGTGCTTCTGGCGGTATTCCATCTGGTCCTGCTGCTTTCCCGCATTTCAGTAGCTTTATGGCGTTCAGGACTTCCATTTTCGTTGGGGGATTTATGTTCACTTGTAATTCAGCGGCTGCAGGTGGTATTTCTGGACGAAGTGCAGGTGGTGGTCGATTCAAGAGCTTCTTGAAGTGGTCGGCCCATCGTTTCCTCTGTTTCTCTTCTTTTGTAATTAAATTTCCTTCTTCATCTTTTATTGGTTTCATCTGTGTTGGTCTCTTCCCTGATAGCAACCTGGTTATTTGATACAATGTCGTCAGGTCTCTCTTACCTGCAGCCTGTTCTGCTTCACTTGCCAGTGTTCGTAGAAGTGTCTTTTGTCTTTGCGTGCACTCTTCTTCACTTCTTTATCCAGTGTTTTATACATTGTGCTCAGTTCCTCTTGTCGTTGAGCATCCTTGCACTGGTTTATCTTCTGCTTCACCATCCTCCTCTCCTCTATCAGCTTCCAGGTATCCGTCGAGATCCATTCCTTGTCTTCTTTCTTCTTCCTTCCTAATACTGTTGTGCAGGTTTCTTTCCACATAGCTTTCAAAGACTTCCAGTGTTCTTCTACACAGGTTTCTTCAGGGATGTCCCTCGACGTCTCCCATTTTGTCTTGATGGCTGCTTTGAAGATCTCCTTTGTAGTTTCATCCTTCAGTTTCCGAGTGTTGTACTTGAATTGAGGTCTATCACCAGCTTCCTTGAAGGCTTTTAACTTGATTTCGAAGGTTCCTTGCACTAGATAGTGGTCTGAACCTACATCTGCTCCTCTTCTTGACCTTGTGTTAAGTAGACTGCGTCTCCATTTTCTTGAGATTGAGATAAAGTCGATTTGGTTTTTAGTGTGTCCATCTGGTGAAATCCATGTCGCTTTGTGGATATCCTTGTGCCTGAACACACTGCCTCCAATCACCAAATCGTTGAATGCACAGAATTCTGCAAACAATTCTCCATTCTCATTCATTTCACCTAGCGCCTCTCGACCCATGGTTAGTTCTCTTCCCGTGTTGTCCCCTCCCAGTTTGGCATTCATGTCGCCCATTAGAATTTTGATATCGCCAACTGACGTCTTGTCCAGTGTTGACTGAAGTTGTCTGTAGAATTCCTCCTTTTTCTCTTGCTCTGCATTATTTGTAGGTGCATAACATTGTATGATTGTGACCTTTCTTCCTTTTGAGTTGAATCTTGCTGACATGATCCTGGAGGAGATTGGTTCCCACTGCATGAGAGCCTTCGATGCTCTTGAGGACATCATGATAGCCACTCCCTCAGTGTGCTCGTGGTTGGCGTCTGGGTGACCGGAGTAGATTATTGATTCTCCCGTTGACAGTTTGGAGAGTCCACTCCCATTCCATCTGCTTTCGCAAATCCCAAGCACTTCGATGTTATACCTTCTCATCTCCTTTGCAATCTGGGCTGCCTTACTGGGTTCAAACATCGTGCGGACATTCCATGTCCCCACGTTTACTTTCGCTTTCATCGAGAGAAGACACATCGGCCAATTGGCTTCCCGAAGGCTTACTTGTCATGTTTAGTTCCTCATAATATCTTCTTTCTGTCGTTTTCCCGATGCCTTTTTTATCATGTGTGCTGAATGTAAATTGAATCTTCTTCTTCCCTTGGGTGTACTGTTTTTCATTGCTGGAAACATAGTTTGCGTCCAGCTTGATATTAGTCATGCTTTAAGTGGGTTGTTATTGCAGAAGGTAATAATTTAGGATCAGAGACAGTAGAAACTTAGCACTTTTTCATCAATCTCCTTTGATGAGGACATTCATAATACGGTTTGATGGCAGATGCTTAGATAATTGTAGTGAGGACCAACAGAAGTCACCCGACAAGTTCAGTAATAAAAATGTGTTGTTCAACCTTTCTTATAGGTTTTTAATTACTTGGAGTTAGAATGTAGTCCGTGCCTGTTCATCTACTTGGTCATAGCGATCATCCACTTAGATTGGACGGGTGTGTCAAATTTACTTGAATCCACTTAAAGGATATTCGTGGGGTATATGCAGCTTTTATTTGACTGACTACTCTCTGATCTATATTATCTGCCTAGGTAGAAAATAAATTGTGCTTCAGAATGCTACAGTCGAGAATGCAGCCACCATTTATTGACCAAGTTCTGAACTTAATTCTTGTTGTTATTCAAACTAAACTTTTTAGCCAATAACAGTTGTCTATAAAACTATTGTTCTGATTGGTTGAATGGAGATTTCAATCTTCTCAGTACTTCAAAGATGACATATTTACAGGGCTGGTAAGAATTGGTAGGATGAGTCATATTTAAGCCTTTGACCATAAAATGGGCAGAAAATGAAGGTGGACTAGAGAGTGGGACCTTTTGCTGAAAAATTATTTTAACGTTTAACCAATCAGAGGCATTTCGACAGCAAGAGAGCGGGGGCGAATATCGTAGGTTGCACAAAGGTGACAGTATAAATTGGCCATCTGATTTTTTATTTTGAATGCATTACACTTGAACATACGTAGTTTTATCACTGTTAAGACCATAAAATACTGCGATGAGCATTTATTGGTTGAGAGACAGTTTTGGTGATAGATTTACTGGCTGAGTTCCCCACTGCGGAAAGCGACCACAACGTACGTCTAGCTAAGTCCTGAACAATGAATAGTCTTTCTTGGTTTCTGACCAATAGGATAGTAGAAACGAAGAGTATTTCATTATTGCATTAGTGGTTTCATTCACATGCCGTTGATCATTTTTATCTGAAAAAAAACAGGGTGTTTACCTGTAATTGGGATGACAACTTTTCGTCTCCAAGATGTATTCATCATACCGTGAAACTCCAGTCTTGTGAAATTGCCCCAAGTTAACTTTCTTGCATTTTCCAAAACTCTTCACAAACTGAAGCCAAAAGTGTTATTTAGATCATACTAAAGCCGTTTAACACTTCACTTTTGAGGCAGTTTCTTATAAAAGGTTATACACCGTCTAATCTCATCGACACAATCTCTAGTATTCATGTGAATTCAATCAATAGTCATTTTGGGTGAATAAATACATAGAAACTAGTTTACTTGCCTTTTCTATGGAAACTCAAGTTATAAACTGGGAAACTGTCTTACAAAATAAATACGTCAGATGGAGTTAATCTAAGGTGGTTTTGCCTATCTGTTTATTGGAATACAATGATCACTGATATGGGTTTAGAATTTTCTGTGGCTCATAATTGTTGTTTCAAGGTCTGTATCTTCGCCAAACTCAAGCTTCTGATGCATTTTCCTTCATTAATCCATTGTCCTTCCTTCTGCCGACTGTCATGTTACGTAATATTGTATGCTCTTCTTTCAGCGGAAATTACCGCAGGGAAAATGTATACACATAAGTTGAAATACTTTGTGATACTTAACCTAAATACCTTCAAATTATACATATATATATATATATATATATATATATATTTTTCTCCCCTCTACACCAGGTCTCTTTCGATGGCAAATCTCTTGGACCTAAGGTGAGAAATTATTCTTTATATTTGAAAAAAAATTGAAAGTCAACCACTCTTCTGAAAAATGTTTATTTCTATTACTTGGTGTCAGGACTCGACTTTCTTCAAGCGGTCAACTCGTAGTTCGACTCCCCCTCCATTCAATTTAACGCTGTTGATATGCCATTCTATGAGGAACTAGATTAGGTTGGAAGAAGGTTGAGGGTGGCCAGACGAAGATGTCGATGAAGTCTGAGTCGCATGGGGAGATGTAGACTGTATGGTTGAGGTCCCCGAGATGACAAGAATCAGTAGTTTAAGGATTCTAGGGGATGTGGCTGAGAATCGATCACAGTAGAGCAGATGTATTCATTCTTTGACATCTAATGATTGAATATTCGCACTAACCTTTATCTTCAGATTGCTTATTCTCTTATACAACTCCTTCTACTTAGATATCAGTCTTTTTTTCATCCTCCTGTTTCTTGTATAGTACTGTGAAGTGTAACAACTTGAAACACTGCTCTTTTATGCAAGGTTATATGTGGATTATGTGTATGTGACTGACTGCATTTTGTTCCGTTATAGCTAGTACGACTAAGCGCTACATACTACGTGGAAAGAAGGTGTAGAACGTGGTTCGTTTGCCCAGTTTCGTGTAGTATCCCATCTGTTTTACACTAAATTAACCAGAAATGTTTTGTTTTAACTGATTAGAAATATCAGTAGGATAAAAGCTTGTTCCCGGTGAAGTGGATCTTAAGAGTGAAGTGTTTAATCCTAAGCACTCTCAGAATTTGTTTCACTGGTCCATAAAGCTTGCTACAACTTCTTGTAGTTTAGACATTCAGCTTTCAACCAAATAAGTGACAAGTTCTACTCTCATTTCATCTACAAAGATTTCGACATTTCAGTGGTGGCATGTAATTAGCCGATATATAAAGATGTATATGGGTCATGTTTAGTGTATTGAACTACTAATCCAGTTAGCTTTAAGAATTCGTTCGCAAACATGAAGATTTCGTGTACGCTTCGTTAAGCGCCAAATAAACTTGTCTAATACATAATAATAGCCTGATTATACTTAATGAACATCCTGACATCTTTCTGATGTGTATAATCGTCATCAAACTTGTTCAAAATAGTTGTTAAGCCCTTCAGTGAAGTGTTGTTTAGATTGACTTTAAAGACCATCCTAGCAACTACTGAGATAACCAATTACGTTCCTCTAATCTATTAGAAATTACCTTGCCATTCAAAATTCTGTAATTTGATTGGTCTATTTAGGCCCGAGGTGGCCAGACTAAAACATGGAACCAATGTATGAAGTCTCTGACTGTTGGTTTAAGCCATGTAGGACGATGCAGACTAGGTGGTTGGGGTCCACAGGACAAGAGGAACCAGTGATTGGAGACCCTAGGTGATATAGCTCAGAACCGATGTGAGTGGGGCAGATGTATACACACATTATCCTCATCTTAACAATGCTACACCGAATCTCACCATTTTGTCACACCTCTTTCCTTTTTTCTCGTACTTTATATTTCTTTTGACTGCATTCACTTATCTCCATCCTTCGCCTCACTATCTTTTTACTTGATGTGCTGATATGAGGTGTGGCAACTCAGACCGTTACTCAGTAATGCCTGGTCCTATGTTGATAATGATGATGATTTAGCAGTTTCTAGAGGAGTCTTTGAAGTTACTCGTTGTTTACACTGCCGTTTAACAAGATAATGTTATTCATTGTTTATACCTTAGTCTACAAGGGGGTGGGGGGGGGGAAAGGGAGTGCGAAGAAACCGCTAACCTTGAAATAAGTTGGTTTAAAAACATTAACCATTTAGTGTTTTAGCAGGTTACAGAAAAGTATTATTTTTTTTACACTCTTATGATAAGGCGTAAGGTTTTTGATTGTTGACCTGAGTCTACCCTGACACCGTGTACCAGAAACACGCAGTCAATCATTCAATGTTGATATATTTCTTCTACTGATTTTTTGATTCATTTTATTGCCTTTTTTTCTTTATGTTTTAGGCCTTTTGGTGTTATTGTGTGATTATTCTCTGCTTAAATATGATAATTTAACATGAAACAGGATCATATTTGGAGGCCAAGATATGAAATATCAATCAACTGAAATATTTTTATCTAAAATAATATTTTTATATATTGTTGCTGTAAAAATCTGTAGAGATGCAGCAGTTTAATCATGTTCTTTGGCATGATTATGATGTTTAATTCCTTTGACACTACAGACTGTTTGATTGGTTAACGTAATGAGTATAGGCCTGTTTCCAACTGTACACATCAGCTAGACATCTACGATTTCATGCAATTCTATACAAAAATCTAGAAGTTAACCTTACTAAATACTCTTAGATTATAAGAGAAGAAAAAAAAAAATCTGATCATTATACAAATCCAGTTTTTCACATGTTTCTAACAAACAATATCGACAAAACACAGTTATAAGAGGCAGTTGTAACACTCAAAATTTTAAGGGAAATGACACCTTGATATTAATCTGAGTATGCATAACTATCTATCGTTTCTGCCTTGAGAAAAACATTTGCATGGTATTAATCTCCATGGATTAAAACAGGCATAAAAATTAACCCTACTCTGACTCAATCATCAGTTCCACATTTGTTTAACTTATCCAGATTCATGCAGTTCTAACTATCCATATAGATAACATTATTAGCTGTCTATAACCTATGTTTACTAAGATAAGCTGGTTTTACATTATCAAGATATAAACTGAAGTTGTATTATCTATCCTATAGATATTTTGATCTTAACTTTTCGATTTTCAAAGTGAAGTTAGAGTTTGGCAGTCTTCTTCTCATCACTAGTTGCAGATTTTAACGAACATACCAGTGCTTTGGACAATAGAATGATCTTGTTACCAGTTATTTAGTGGTAGGCACTAAGTTATTACAATTCATTTCTTGGGAAGTGGATCATCTTGATTAAAATCTCCTGAAAGCCGATCTAAGCAGGTAGCAGTAGTGTTACAAGATAATTTCTATGCAAATCAAAGAAGCATTTTAATTCGATATGAGGAAGTAATATCATTCTGCTAAAGTACAGGTGTTGTACTCTGCTTAGTGCGTCCAAAGGAGAAAGGTATAACCGGCGTAGTCCTTTGGTTATTATAGATAGTAGGTGATCCTCCGTGCAAACAGCGTGTTAAAGATAACCTAAAAATAGGGGTTAGGAAAGAGAAGTCATCAATGCATGAAAAGAACTTCCAGTATCCTGAAAGTGTGACTTGTTTCTAAATTAGAATTTAGCACTGGCGGTATTGCACGATTTTATCAGCATACCATGCAATGCCGATAATGTAGAGATCACTGTTGCTCCCACTTGTATCTATAGACAGCATACTATTCTGGCAAACTTAATTATGAATCCTTCCTTTTACTTCGTTTCTACAGTACACAATGACATCTTAATCACTTGACTCGAAAATTCATGATTTAAGCACTTTGTGGTGTTTAAAACCAAAAATATTGCCACTTTATGGCTGTTACTCATGCCAAGTTTGCTTTCCCGCTTTTTTGTTTAAATGGGATATCGATCAATTCAAACAAACTTATGTATCCAATCAAGGATGTTGCATGCGATCAGACTTATTTAAATAAGGCACTTTACTGACATGAATAGCGGATGTCGTATTTGGTTATACAGAAATAGCTTGTGATTAGAAAGTCTAAAATTCAAACCACGGGAAACGACCAATCAGAAGCAGGGTTCTACTGACCAATCAAATTTAAGTACAAACAGTCGAAAATAGGACAGGCAAATCAGAATACTAATGAGCAAATAACATTTGACAGTGCTGTTCTGACGCCTACCACCTTAATTCGTCTTGTAATACCCTCTTCCTATCTAACTGTTTCCATTTTAACATTTTCATTGTTTTCTCTACATCTTTTATTTCCCTCTGTTGCCGAAAAATACAGGAGATGTCACACAACAGATTAAAAACTCAACTGCAGGGTTCTTGGTTAGTCAGAAATGTAAACTAATTTAGCCTAGGTGTCTACAAGATGGTATCGTAAGGTTTAATGGATGCTCTAGTGCATGAATGATTACATGACTACTTCACTGATTTGCTACCTGTATGAAGTTCGTAGAATCTAATTTTTGAACCAGTAGGTATGTTCGTATGGGTGTAGATAATCGCTCTGTATGTTCCTCACCACGTTGCCTTTGTCAACCTATGACACTTTAACCACCTTCGCACCCGTTTATCTAGCTCAGAGCATTGTTCTCATGATACACTTTTAAAATACCCAACATTCATAAGAAATTATGATCACATATCTTTGTTAGGTTTTCTCTTCAAATGCGTTTCATTGTTCTGGGTAATTGGTTCCCATCTGATGGATGACGTGTTCAAATCTCGCCCCACTTATAGAGGTCTCAGGAACTGGGTAGTGTTGTTAGCCCTTGCATAATAGGCGTGACCCATTAGCTACTGCATAAATGTGTATAAGCTTTCTGAGTGGATCTTGGCTTTTTCAAGTGTTATTTAAATAATTTTATTCGAAATGCGCTTGTGTAACTTGCATGGAAGCTAAGAACAAGACAGTTGATGGGAATAAATTCGTTGTAAAGAAATCGGTATTGATTTCATTTTTCCCAATCTAAAGACACCATTTGTTTCGAGAGCAGTGTCTGTAATGAAGAAGGCTTTTTCAATGGAGAGCTTGGGGACATGAAACATACTCGTGTGGAGTATGATTGTCGCTTCAATCTCCATATAATCATAAGTGGAATTCTCTATTTCGAAAATCTAAAGGCTGTCTAATGTTAGTATGATGTAATAATTTCATTTCATATATACTATGACAGTTGAATTCAGTATAGGCTGAAGCCATGGCTCTTTGGTTTATAGATATGACTTTCAGTCATTGGGCCATGGGTTCGAACTCTCCTCCACCTACCGAGGTTTGAGCAGCCAGGTAGTAGTATCATTAACCCTAACACACAACAGGTGTGGTTTATGGCCTACTGAGTGAATTTTTTTGATAAGGTAAATTATTGCTTGTTTAAATGATAAGTTTTGTTTTAAACAAATAACAAACGGACAATGATTGGTTTTGATATTTGGTGTCTTTTGGCACATGTCTCTTATTTCTTTTCTTATAGCAAGTTTTGCCAATTTTTTTTCTTTCTTTTTCTATACTAGGGTCCTCGCATGAAGTGTCTTTGTCGAAGCAAGAAGTGTCGTGGTTATCTGGTCAATTAGATGCTTATTCATCCTGTTCTCAGTGTATTGACCGGTTGCAAATGAAGCTTATTTGTGCTCATTGCATTCATCTGACGAGAATCTATTAGGAATATTCATGTTCAAGATTTTTTTCTATTCCTGTTTTAAAAAAAATTTATATTGTTTACCTATGATTTCTATTCAAAACATGATGTGTATAAACTCGTAAAAGTAACTTAGTATACACTTTGTCTTATAGTTGTATGCTTTGTCTCTTTCTATCAATCTTTAGTTTTATTCAACACTTTTCTAACCAATTCAGGGTGTTTACAAATGTACTTTTCTTAAAAATGTTTCCCCGTATCTCAGTGGTCTCTATCCACCTTTTTTTATGAGTAGATAGCAATATTCTAGGTTCATTGATTCTAGAAAAGAAGGACTTATATGTTTTTATTGTCTATTGTTATTATTATAATTACTCATAATTAAATATTTTGTATGCAAAGATTGACTCATAACACGAAAATGAATTGTTTGTCCCATCATTTTCTAACATTTGATTGAATTTCTTCAAGTGTGTAATCATTTTTTACCATAATATTCAGAGTAAAAGCCCCCAGACAACACATAACTTACTGCTTGCTCAAATACACATTACCAACATAAAAACCACCATCTGTGCAGACCAGCGAGATGCGATTGTGGCTTACAAATGCTGGTTTGATCTGAAGTCAAGCATATAGTCACCTTGTCTACACAACTTGCTGAGCGCAAAGACCAGCTATGATAATTTTGCCATAGTCCTATGACTTAGAAGAAATGAAATGGAAGTTTGTGTGAAGGAGGATTACGTGAGGCTGTAAAGCGGATTTGTTATTTAGCAAACGATTGGTTTCTTGGCGTATTTATACAAATCGTACCGCTTTACTCCAATTTGGTTGGTTAGTCAAACACTATATTCTGATTGGTTGATCCTGTTTGAATAGTTTACGGTCATTGGACCGCTCCAATTTGACTGTCAAGGTGTGATTATTCTTCATGTTCTGATTGGTTGGCGTAGACCATCCATCTGGATACCTTATAGTTACAACTGCGGTGTTCAATACATGTTTCCCTCAATTTTGATGATGTGAAACAGATTGATTAAAAGTATTTCCTCTTGGTCCGAAGGCGTTTCTAACTGTCGAGAAGATTGATGCCCGTCAAGCAGAACACCAAGGAAGTAAATAATCTTTAACCACCGAGTTCTTTCAGGGACAGCAGTTCCGCAGACCGACAGTCTGGTATGGTTTAAAATCATGAGAGAACTTTGGGGACTGACGAGCTGCCAAAAACTGAGATTCTACCATGGGATAGAAAATCCCTAAGAAAGGCGAAAACTTGTTATCTAAACAGCATTTACTCTTCTGACCCTTCGTCGACTGGGTAAAATCTACCTGCGATAGTCCTTCATGTCGCGTTCTGTACTTTGGCGTATCTATCTTGAGGTCTTAGTGTTTTTCACGCCACCGTTATCCATAACCATCCATCCTTATGAAGACAACTGAGACTTGCCTTAGTTCCGATTAAAATTTGCCACTTGAAATAGTGGGAAACAGTTAATTAAGTGCTTTTAATGTAATCGAAATAGTTGCTGGCTATTCATGTTCTGTGCAGTTCACTCATAGGTGCGTTCACTGCTGGTTATAGTATTAGTTAGAAATTCGCAGCAGATTTTTATCAATTGCTGACCACTTCAATCCATTTGCTTCAAACCATTCAGCTTAGTAGAATTTTTATCGATAGGTTGGTTGTCATCTATTTAATTGCATTCCTCAATCTGATGTTTGCTGTATGTATTCACACGTGAATTCGATCACTGTTAGTTAAATGCAACCAGTGTCCATCGATATTTAAGTTTACATGTTTTAATACGGAATCGCTCTGCGACGTAGATGAAATAGGTTATTGATACGGTTAACTAACACTTATGATAGGTCACCAAATCATTCCTTCAGAAAAATGTAGAAAACTCCAACTGTTTAGTTTTTCAATCAATAACAGTAAGATATAGTAGCAAAAACGGATGATCACCTGATGAGTCGCTTAAGCTGCTGATAAGGAATAACATAACCGGCGGAAAATTTTATCTGCGCCTTCTTTCTAACCACTCCTATATCCAGCTTGCCGTCGATTTAACACAAATGGTCTCCACATCTTCGTGCCAACTATGGAACGCATTAGACTGTAAAAAGGGGTTAGTTGGCTGAAACACTTCACTCCCTATCATCAGATGAAGTCCCTACGCAAACTATCCTTGAAACAACAACTTGCTATCAGCGAATGAAAATGCGTGTCGAACATCCACACATCAACAGTCGATGTGGGCAAAAGACTTTATTTTATCAGCGTCTTCGGTGAGTAGAAGCAAATTTTCCGTGCGTTGTAAGTCGATGTGGAAGACCAATGAGAGAACAAATATTCCTATTGAGTGGAATAAGGAGATGAAGCTAGTAATAGGTGTTTGCACGAAGTGGTCGCAGTAGAGGTGGCTGAGATAGATTACTGTGAAGAGGAAGATGGAAGTGAAATGCCAGGAAAGTAAGAGGTATTCGGTTGAGCCTCGTGATGGTGAATTAAGCTCAGGCAAGGTAAAGTTGGTTGGTGAGGCGACTGAAACCTCTCAATGCTTAAGGAAGTGGTCTGCTTTAAGAGTTTAGTATTAACAGGATTATACTTTGTAACTGAATCTTTTTCTCGAAGGATTTCTGTAGTTGTATATCACGCACTGATTTTTGCTCTAGTTTTTTTTCGCCCTCTTATGAACTTTGTTCTAAGTTAACGTTGTATGTCTAAATTTCATGAACTTAGTATCAAAGCAAGCCTGGATGGAAACACATAAGCTATCGAATTTCATCTAGAAAGTGAAATATACCTACTGCGATTAGATGACGAGAAACCTTGACTGTGATTGGCTATTTTCTGTCCAATCAGTGAAGGAGTAATTTTTCGGGTTTAAAATGTTGATTTAGCATTGAATAGATGATTTGATTCTTCATTCAGGGTTAATGTGTTTACCTCTTCAATATTCTTAGAAAGAATCTGATAATAATATATTTCATACAACATAAGTTACAGGAAAACAAACCAGTTAACAGGTTTGATCATTTTGGTAATGTGAACTGACTGCTAAGTACAATGTAAGGCTATACGTTAGGTACAGTTATTCACGGCACATAAGAGATGCCTCTAGAGAAAGAACTGGACTAGTAGCCGCAGATTCAGGGAAAGAAGCACAGTGACAGGATTGTTCATTCTCCAGGAAATCATCACTTTTTCTTAAGATGCTAATAGCAAGAAGTTGGTGAAGCAGATCTGGAATTCCACTATCCTAAACTTGTATCGATTATTTACACTTCTTCATATGGGCCTGATGAGATACTGTTGGCAGTTGTAACCGAGATTGATATCAGTACATTTTTGAAACAAATTCTAAATAAAGGCGAACTTTCGGAGTGACTCTAAGGATAACTGTGTCAACGAATGAGATATCCTGTAAGTTGCCCTATTTTAGCTGTGTTAATAACACTTGCATAAAATGAAGAATCCTGTATGGTCATTCCACCAGTTTTTCGGACTGCCATTAAGGTTACTCTAACGTCAGATTCTGGCCGTTTGTGAGGTGTACATAAAGCTACACTGCTATGGATTCTCATTTCCATTCAACGACGCAACAGTTGCAATCTTGTTACAGAGACGAGCTGCTTAACTCATTTCCTGGAATCTCTGGAGTAAGTGTGACTATCCAGTCACCATGCACAATCTTGTCAATACTAAACTCTTAAAGCAGACCACTTCCTTAAGCATTGAGAGGTTTCAGTCGCCTCACCAACCAACTTTACCTTGCCTGAGCTTAATTCACCATCACGAGGCTCAACCGAATACCTCTTACTTTCCTGGTATTTCACTTCCATCTTCCTCTTCACAGTAATCTATCTCAGCCACCTCTACTGCGACCACTTCGTGCAAACACCTATTACTAGCTTCATCTCCTTATTCCACTCAATAGGAATATTTGTTCTCTCATTGGTCTTCCACATCGACTTACAACGCACGGAAAATTTGCTTCTACTCACCGAAGACGCTGATAAAATAAAGTCTTTTGCCCACATCGACTGTTGATGTGTGGATGTTCGACACGCATTTTCATTCGCTGATAGCAAGTTGTTGTTTCAAGGATAGTTTGCGTAGGGACTTCATCTGATGATAGGGAGTGAAGTGTTTCAGCCAACTAACCCCTTTTTACAGTCTAATGCGTTCCATAGTTGGCACGAAGATGTGGAGACCATTTGTGTTAAATCGACGACATGCTGGATGTGGGAGTGGACAAGAAAAGTTTCAGTGACTTTTTCCAGTTAGTTGCAATTGTTTTGCCAACCATCTATCTGATTGTATATTGAAGGTCAAGCGTTCTCAGAAGCAGTTTGCCCTTTTATGCCACTTCTTTAGAGATGCTGGATGTACGAAGGTTTGAGGTGACTGAAACACATTACTTCATAGCATCGACCAGATGTGGTGAAACCATCAAGAAAATAACATGCAACCCTGCGTAAAAAGGTTAATTTAACTCGCACTGTTGGTAACCGTGATCAACTATGGTATTTTGAGCACATGTTGAGTGTGTCAGCCTGCCATGAATGTCTGTGTACGATTAGTTGAAGGAAGAATGGGTTAGAAAGTGTCATACTGCGTTTCAAGGCAAAAATTTTGCGCGAAACGTCACCTAGTAATGGTGGTGTACCACCATGTACAAAGTCATTTAAGCCAGTAAAACCACACAAGTAACGAGGAACAGGTCTTAGTGTAGCTGTAGTCTGTGATTTTCACTGTTGAGTCAAGCCATTCAGGCAGATAGTAGTTTGGATCGTTGGTGTCAGATAGACAGCCGAAATCAGTAGGCGCAGGCTCCAGGTGATATGATATGCCGCTGATGGCAGTGGTTTTGATGCCTCTGCAACTTTGGTTCATCGTGTATGTTATGTAGCCCTGTGTTGTTTGCCTTATATCTTCATCATTTAGCTTTAGGTCTTTCTGAGATGTCTGCTGATATTACCTCTTTTTCTTCTACTTGCTTCTCGCTGCATTGTTTTCTCATGTGATAGACATTTTACCTATTCTGATAGACGTCCGTTTCATAAAGGTAAGTAGATTTTGGAGCAAATTCGTAACCTCGTGCTGCTGAGGCACTGAAGTAAATAATACTCATGTTTTTGAGGAAGATTAAATCGAAATGATTGTTCAGAACAGGATGTATATATGGCCTATTACATGAACACATTACAACATATGTTCCTGATGCCTTTAATAAGAGTTTTTAAGGTGTCGATTTTAAAGAACAAATCAAGGGCAAGTGTAGGTACGCAATAAACTTTGGTTTAAGTCCAAGTGAGTGGTATTCCACATCATATGACTGCTTCTAACGCGATTACTTTGATTCCTTGCATCAAAATGAACTTCTCTTCTAATTCGTTAGGCTTTGTTTACGCTTGCCATAAACCTGCTCCGTTGTTTCTGCGGTAACCCTGCAATAATCCAAACTGTATACCTCAAAGATCATTAGGATCTCTGAAAACAAGATGTAGATTACTTTTCCGATTTTAGTCAGGAAAAATGAAACGAT